TAATATTAGTATTAAGTAAGATAGATTTTCTTGTATACATGCAGCAAAGATTTTTCCAGAAGACATGCGCTCCTGTCTAAGGGGAGTTGGATTTATGAACAATACAAGAGAATTTATAAGACACGCCTCGGACGCCGTATAAAAAGACATACAGCATATTGCTAACAAAGATATAGTGACTTATACTGAGCACAACTTTAAGAAATAGTTTTATTGCATCTTATAGCATAATACGTGCGTAAAATACAACACTCCACAAATTTTATTACACATTTCTTTATATAAAAGTAAAAGAAAAAAAATCTAAAGAATTATAAAAGGAAATAAATTAAAACACACTAAAAAAATCATCAAAATGTTCCATCGGAAAATACAATCTATATTTATTGGCTTCTAATTTATATTTAGAATTTATTTTTTATGTTTAGAAAAATTTTAAAATATATTTTTTTATGATTCCTTTATTTTAGAATATAACAGCCTACATAATACGCAATAAAACATCCTACTATATACCACATAATCATTTTATTTCTTTCAAAACAAGCTTTATTTCTTGAAGCTATGAATCTCCTTTAGCGCTACATATTCCAGATTAGGATAACATATATCTTTCTGTGTTCCAACCTGACCTCCTTTTATAAATCAGGTGTATTCTTGCACAAGAACAGAATCCCTAGAGAATATGTTCCAAATCTTATTCTGTACCATTATTCAAATTTACTATTTAATAATATTGCTTGAAAAAAGAAAACATCAAAAACAATGTTGTTTATTTTTAATTTAAATTATTCTTAATTATTTTCGGGATTACGAACCATAAGTTTTTTTTATATAAATGAACTTTGTCATATTTATAACAGCTTGATGTATTTGGCTCTGGCAGAACAGATATATATTTTACTCGTCTAATGTTTTCTTCGATTATACGGCAAAATATTTTCTTTTATTTTTCAACATGCCAGAATTTTCTATCAAGCAAATCTCAATTAAGGAAATCGAATAAGTCTTTTGCGACACTAAAGTAATAAAACGTTCTTTCCACTCCGGCTTTAATTAGATTTCTGTTTTTTCTTTCCTTCGTAAGATTAAATTCTTTTAAACGGTTTCCGTTAAACGGATAAATATCTTTATTGTATCATTGAATTGCCATATTTTAACTTTACGTATTTTAATATAATGAACGATTATAATATAATCTAATATAATATGGTCGAGTTATTGAAAATTTATCAAATTGCAATTTCATTATCAATATCCCCTAATCGTAAAGTTCCACTGACTCTACTCCTCTTTAAAAACAAAACAGAGACAATAAAAAAAATACCGATAATATTAAGTATAGATGTTATATACAATCACGCTCAAACTTCGTTAAACGTTTACATAACAATCTTATGACATTTAAGTCTTACACACATATACATACATATGTATATAATTTTGTATAGTCTTTTATTTGCCAGTAAGTTTAAGTGCATTAAGTGAAGCTGCAATACGTAAGCATTTCGTATGCTTATCTCGAGAAGCATTGCCCGTTTCCAGGTAATAACTAATGCATTACGTCTGTCTGAATGCAGATGGCGCCACTACCTCTTACGCCAACTATCTGTTAGGGAGAAATGCTTTCTAACTAAATTGAGTCAGACGTAATTTTAGGTAAAATTACGACTATGTTTATGTATTCAATGTTTAAAACATGATTAATCTCACTAATAGTATAAATGCGAATATTTTGATGGATGGAAGAATGGAAGGATAACTGGATATTTATTAGAAGGTATCCCAGAAACAGCTCTACGGATCTTTTTGAAATTTGGCACAGATAAAGAACATAGTCTAGAAGACAGATAGTTTCAAAATACACAGTGATAGTACTCTAAAAATTAAATAAACAGTAATTAATATAAGGTTAAAAAAAGACAAAATTCTACACTGTTTCGTACCATACATTTGGAACCTTAATTTTTAACCTAAATCATTTTTTCTGCGTTTATGAATGATAGATATATCGTTATTTTTTAAATTTTACTTAAATATTAATAACCTTTTTATATCGCTAATGGCCGCCTTTTCTTTTTAAACATTTCTATATTTCCAAACCTATATGAAAGGAATATGCAACATTCTGTTTCGTAGTTACAATAAGTGGAAAACAAAAGAGTCGTTTACTTGAGAAATGCGAGAAACAATTAAGTAATTAAATCACTTTTGATGTCATTGTGCGCGACCATTGTCGTGACATTAACAAATTGAACCCGGTAGCACTCTCATTAAGCGACGGTGCCATTACTAACTATTTAATTCCCTTTGAACGCTTTTTCATAAACACTTTTACTCGACGCCTTTTTTTTTCTTTTCAACGCTTACTAAATAAAAAACTTGAATGGTGTCGGAGTAAAAATGAAAAGTATTTCAATAATTTCATCTTACAAGATCTAAAAGATTTACGTCAATGTGAAATTACTAGCGGAAGCCCGAGACTCCGTCCGCGGAATTAAAAAAATATATTTAGTACCCTATGTGATCTGCCAGAATATGAGCTACATATAGGTTAAATTTCAGCGAGATCTGTTCTGCCGTTTTGGTGATACTTTCAAACAAACATCCATCTATTCATCTAAACATTCGCTTTTATAATATTAGTAACAAGTAAGATGAATCTATTGCATTGTTTGATATTAAAGATGATTTCTTTATATAATATTAATCTCGATAATCTCGTCTTTATATTTTTCTATTGTATATGGTAAAAACATGTTTTTACGAAAAGTAAAATTTACATGTAGTAGAAACAACTGTGTATCTCCAGTTGTGATCTAATCTGAATTGATAAAGTACAGCACGAACAGTATACACTTTACACACTTTCAGTGAATTTTGAAACTGATAGGATACGATTTATTCACTCTTGGGAGTCGGATACCTTTGTTGATCGTACTGCTTACCATAACAAAGGATTCATTGTTGTTTATTTATGCTGGTACGATCTCATTCTATGCGGAATAACTCTGATATTAACACATGTATTCATTAATACTGCTATTATACTTTTAGTAAAAACCTTAATTATACCACAGATTTAATATGACGCTAATAAGAATTATATTAAGAGTAGAATGATTAAACATTACCAGTTGTCCGCGACTTCGTTAACGAGTAATAAAAATAATACTAATAAATAAAGTCTATGTCAGCCGAAGATAGTGTCGATACCCAACAGTATTTTTTTTAATCGGTTCAGTAGTTTTGTAGCCTATTCAATGCAAACAGACAATCAAATCTTTCATTTTCATAATTATATAATTATAAAAAAGCATGTAAAACTCTTGTATATTAAACATAGTTTGTCTTGTTCTTTATACGTAAAGTTTTTTCACATGTGTAGAAAGAGAAATATTTTTAACCTAAAATAAAGCAACAATACATTAGTACACAACTTTTAGTTGCTGTAAAGTGTAGTTAACAAAATATTACAACACCAGAATATAAGTAATTAATTTAGAAATATTAATGTCAAAGATTTATGTCTCCGGTGAATAGTTCATAGCAAGCCGAGCGTTATTACAGAAGGAAGAGCTTCGCTGGAAATTACATAGTCTGTGGCACAAAGAATACCGGGTACGTCGAGACAGGCGACCATTTTTAATTATGCAAGACTTTGCTCTTATATTTCGCTTTTTAACTTTTTAAAATGTCTACAAAAATGTTCTTTATGACTTATACAAGGACAGTTTCAAATCATCTCAAATGGAACAGGCGAGGTTAAATCGTACACCTTCTACTTAGGACGTAGAAGAAAACACTAGACTGGGCTTATCCTTTGTTACATTAAGCCTTCTTAAATCATAAAGATTCTATATCAGAATCTAGTTTAAAGCAAAACTAAAACAAACCTCCATGCTTAAGCTTTTTAATTTCAAAAGGCAATTATAATAAAAAACAAGCAAATAACAAAACAAAAGACGGCTAATATTCTTAACGTATTTACGAATTAATATTACCAACTATCTTTAGGAAACAGCAGAGGCAAACATTCCGCTCCCAGTAATTATAAAGTTTGTTCCACGAGTGAGGCAATCTCGGGAGCTAATTCAATATAGTCATAGAGCGAGGCAAATTCATTTAACATCGGCGTCGACGTACGCTACTTTACCTTATTATTGCCTAGCGGTATTTATAAAGCTATTCAAATATAACTTTGTTTCGATAATATTGTTCTATGATTAATATTATTTTATACTTCATTTACTTTAAGACCAATTTAAAAATAGAAAATGATTACGTAATTCAAACTTGTTACATGAACTGTTCTATTATAAATGCTAACCTAAGTAATGGTGTTCATCATCAGCTTCAGCTTTATTCACTATACATCACCACTGATGGCCTACCTAAAGTTAGAGGTGACTAAGCTATAGTAAACCACGCTGGCCTAGTGCGGTTTCTTTTCTTTAAGGATTTATAAAAATCAAACCTACTCGATTGACTCTAATTCTATAATGTTGTTCTCAATATAAAGTGATAATTCATTCAACTCGTTTGTGTATTTGATTTGATATTAGCACAATAAAAAAGAAAACAATATCGTTATTTCTCTTTGCTTAAGTCTGATAAACGCTTTAAATAACTACATCGTAGTGCACATTACTCTTAATATACCATCACCATACATTCAGTTTAGAATTTCTAGAACATACGTCTTTCTGAATGCAAATGACTCGCGTTTATCTGTCTGGAAGTTATTTATACGTCGTCTAATGGACACTTAAGTTACATTTTTATCTTTATAGCGATGTTTTCTTCGTTTAGAGTAAAATTTTGAATGGTTTGCAACACACTTTTAAGCTAATTTTATTCCTACTGTAGAGTATTTTTCCAAAGCAGTATTAAGAATAATGTTTTACGAATTTCAAAAACAATAATCTTTAGGATATTATTTGATTTGCTTCTTGTTTTATAAAATGTTTATGTTATTTATACGTTATTTTTTATTGCAGTTTTGGAGATCAACGAAGCGGAATACTCTGTGTTTGTTTCGAAATGGACGGAATGCACTACCAATGCCGAAGAACACGACAGGGCTATCGAGAGGTTTGATTCTAGTATTACAAAAACATTCAGTATTTTGTAAAGAAATAAAACAGAATACACTCTGTAGATATCGTTAGCAATATATGTTATAGTTAAAAGTATTGTCAGTGTATTTGTTACGTTGGATTTTTATTATCTGCAGATACAACACGCGAGTTGAAGAAGACTCCCTGGTGCACACACCCCGACTCGGACTTCAAAGACGTCAAGTGCAATGTCGTCGGAAGGACGGACAGATCGTAGAACCCATGTAAGTTATGGTTACTTACAGAAGAAGTGTAAAATATACTTACGAATACCTTTTGACTGAGATTTATGACATTATCTTATTGATCCTTTTTTGTAGGTATTGTGGTAACGCGATATCTCACATCGGCACCACCCGCGTGTGTGTAATGCGTGAGGACTGCTCGCTGGCCGAGTGGCTGCCGTGGCGGCCCCGGGCAGACGGCGCGCTGGTCAGGACTAGGAGACTGCGGCGACTTGCACAAGGTCTCTTGAATACGAAAGTTATGGCTAACCCGATTCGTGGCACCAATTGGGTCTCAACTACTCAATAAATTTTTCAAAAATACTACTTTTTAATCCTTAAATAACATTAGCCAACCAACCAAACAAACATGAAATCTACATTTCTAGGCGGTGGCAACGAGTGTGAGGTAGTAGAAGAAGTACGTCCCGCGGCTCTGGAGGCCAGCGCACATTGGACGCCGGGACCCTGGGGTCGGTGCCGTGTAGCTGTCGCACAACCCGCTACTCCACCGCCCTGTAAGTATCTCCATATTATTCTGCGCAGTAAAGATAACCTACTAGGGTAGCACTCTTAGCACATACTTTACCTTGGCTCCGTCTCTTACCAGCTGATGACGATGACGACGCGGAAGACAGTGACGCGCTGTACGATGAGGATGAAGAGGCTGATGAGATGGACCGTGCGGGGGCAGGCGACGCTAGCTGCGGGGGCGGAGTGCAACGTCGTGACGTCAGTTGCGTGCGCGCAGACGGGCGAGCGCTGCATCCCGCGCAATGCGCGCACGCGCCCATGCCTACACTCGTACAGCCTTGCGAGGTAGGCTTGGTATATATTTATAATATGTAATTAAGTTATGTAGCGGAATATTATTTAAAAAAAATCATTTCAGGTTCCATGCCCCCGTGACTGTGAAGTAGGAGAGTGGGGGGAATGGGGCGCATGCCAACCTATCGACGGATGTCCACTTTACCCCGTACAGGAACTGACTGCAACCGGTACGTGTCAGTGTTTATATCAGTTGACCCGATCATTACGTATGTCTGATCATGGCAATAGATATTAACATTGTAATATTCTATTATTTATAAATTTATTTCTCAGGATACAGCGTGCGTCGACGTCGCGTGACATCAGCGGAGTCTGGCGGTGGCGCAAACTGCCCTCCTCTAGAGGAGAAAAGGACATGTACGATGCCACGCTGCGCATCCTGGAAGGCACTGCCGTGGGGCCCCTGTGTGTTAAGTCAGCCTCATTCTACTTGCGGCCCGGGCAGACGCATGCGCGAGCTTCAATGTGTCGGCCATGATGGAGTATGTATTATAGTCCTTTAAAGACAATTCTTACTTAATGTACAAAAAATTATTTTATTCAATTAGCTTAGTAACAGAAATATTGTATTAACATGAAGGGTCATCCACATGCTTAAATAATAAGCTTGAACTTTTTCGCCAACCATTGACAATTTTTATATCAATCACATTTGTATGATCGTAGAAAGAAGCGCAGCGCGCATGGTGCAGCGGTAGCAGCACACCGGCGCGCACGGAGCGGTGCCGTATCGCATGCCCCGGAGACTGTGTGGTGTCCGCCTGGTCGGCCTGGTCGCCCTGTACGGCACCTTGCGCTGCGCCCTCACGGCCCAGACCTACTAGAACACGCACACGACAGATCATTGCCCATGCATCGCCTAGTAAGTAGCCTTTATACAGTATGAAGTAGACTTTTCGATACTTGATTATCGTTAGACTAACTCTCTTTTTCGGATAAGTTAACCGCTTTAGATTTTTACAAGTTAATTTCTCTCACAGACGGCTGGCCGTGTCCAACCGAGGACCAACTGATCCAAAACGAAACGTGCAACAACCACGCTTGTGCCACTTACTCCTGGCTCGCGACGCCCTGGGGACCATGTGAGAGACGTCACCAGGACTACATTCCTGTTACCAACTACACTGATTTACAGGTAAGTGAATATTTTCATAAAGCTATATTTTTAATTGAACTATCATTATCAAAGAGTATATTTCATTTACGTAATTCATGGTAGGAGGGTGAACCGTACAATGAAAGTGATGAAGAGGAGCCGTGTGTGGAGGAAGGCCAGATCACTAGGAACGTTATGTGTGTCCAGAACAATGCTGATGTCGTCCGTGACTCCTTGTAAGTTTTCACTTCACTACCTAATGCGACATCATTTCTATTAACTGATATTTAGATTTACATATTATAACAACGTTGTTATTTAATTTCGTATAACTTAAGTTCGTTTTTTATTAGGTGTTTACCATTACGCCGACCTCAAGCCCGTCGTGCCTGCACATTGAGATGTCGCCGGGGCTGCAGGGTCGAAGCATGGATGCCGTGGTCGCCGTGCCCTAATACTTGTGGTACTACATATAAATTGCAGCAAAAAATATGCACAACGAGTTCCCAATATACTTGACAAGCTTTATCTTACTATACTTTAACTTTTATCTTACTACAGAACCAGGGAAGCAAGTTCGCGTCCGCAACGTGCATGGCGGTCCGAACTGTGGCGCAGTACAGGAGGTGCGCGACTGCCCTGTACCGCCGTCGTGCCGTGCGCGTGAAGCGGCATGGGTCGCTGGCGAGTGGAGCACTTGCCGACTGCCGCCTGGGCAAAGATGTGGTCTCGGGTATCGGCTTAGAAGTGAGTCACATTCTTTCGGAAGAAATGAATATAAATGTTTCGGCGGTGGATGTCCACGTTTCTTTTAACCGTAGACTCATTGTTATAGTTTAGACTATGAAACCATAGTAAGTCTTATACAAATAAAATGTTAAGAAGGTCAATACTTAGATTTATTAGTCACATTAATAAATATACCGATTTTGAGTTTCTTCTCGTAGGCATTTGGTGTGGTTCTGACTCGCATCGTGTGGAGGCGGGCGCATGCGCCGGGCAGCTGGTGCCGCCTAGCGTGGCCGCTTGCATTGTCACCTGTGACCGCATGGTCCCACTCACCTGTGATGTTATTTGCGAAGACCCGTTGAAGTAAGTTCCTTGGTCTTTACAACTATTCTGCTGAGAGTACATCGAAAGTGTATATGTGAACTTATATCACACAATCTCTGACTACTATTGTCGAAATCCTTATTTTTAATACTGAATAGAATGATATTTTAACCTTTTCTAGATATCTCGATGCATCTGACCCAGATGTTCCAATCTGTGTTTGCAAGACGGTCACTTTGGAGCTTCTGCCCGCTGATTCCGATTGTATTCTGCCTCCAGGGTAAGATCAGTGAAGTCACATCTAGATTTTAGATATTAGACTTGTTATTTTTCTAAATTTTCTTGCTTTGTTCAATTTTAGATTGGAGTGCGGAGAAGGAAGGGCCTTGAGAGCCGCTCGCTGCATGGCCAAAGGCCGGGATGTCCCTATGGACGTGTGCAAGAAATATCATCCGCTTACTGGTACAAGCAATTAATATTAATTTTATTTTTTAACACTTTTTGAGTAAATGTTTTCTTTTTCACCTTTCTTATGCTCTTCCTATACTTATTTAGTCTTATTCTTATTCTTTTTACACCAAATTTTTCTTGTGTATGTACTGAAGAGTGGGGTCTCCTTGTAATTGCAAAATAAAAACAATTAATTATTAAAGAAAGACAATGGAAGATTAGTATATTCGATTCAATATATCAATAACAATTTGTCAGGTCCGCGCCGTGTCCGCGAGGCGTCGACCGACGGATTCGCCTACGACGAGGAGTTCCCAACGCTAGTGCGGGGCGCGTGCAGTGTGCGGTGTGCACGTGACTGCGCCGCCGGCCCCTGGGCGCCTTGGGGCGTTTGCTCCGCTGAGCCTGGCTCACGTGCCGCGTTCAGATTCCGTACGAGGTACCAGTCATAGCAGCAATTTCTTAATACCTTATATTGCTTTCATATACTCGATGCACTAATTGACGCATAAAGGTGACACGAAGTTACACCCAACTACACGGTACGTGTATAAGAAATATTTTTACCTGTAATCAAGGGAGATAGACAGAGTCTAGAGAATGCAAACCCATACAATCAATTAAAACAATGTTATTAATATTTCAACTATTTTGTACTAGGGAGGTTATAGAGGAGGGATCTGCGGGAGGTCGTGAGTGCGGCGCTACATTGCAGCGCGCTACTTGCGTGCTGCCGGAGCCAGCATGGCACGTCGGCCAGTGGTCGGTGTGCACGCCCCAGCAGGCGCTCTGCGGTCGCGCCATCATCAACAGAACCGTCATGTTAGTTTTACAATATATGTACAACACATCATTATAATGATAGTAAGTCATGAGAAGTCTTTGCCACATCTCCTTGACGTTACCATAAATTCTAGTTACTACAATACTGGAAAAAATGAGAATAAAAGATCAGTCAGTGTTATCTAGTCAGTTTTTAAAATTAGCTCATAGTTTCAAAACGATTTATTCTTTAATACGTTGATCCAGCTGTCAAGACTCTAACGGCGTGAAGCTCGACGACTCTGAATGCGTGGTGGGAGGCGCAGGACAGCCGGCAGCGCGCGAGGCGACCTGCCGCGCTCCCTGCCCAGCTGACTGCGTCGTCAGCGCCTGGTCTGAGTGGAGTCCTTGCGAACAGGTATACACGTAGACATGGTGATTCCGAGGCCATCTTATGGTTCGTTTAGTAAATTCATTAAATTACCTATACGTACACTCAATCGAGACTTTAGTAAAATTCATTGTATCTCAAACGATACTTTTCTTTCATATACCGCTCTCATTTTATTATTTATTTAATTAAATAAATACATATATATATAGACAAAGTGGGGTGGTCGTCGGGATCGCACTCGCGTGGTACTCCGTCCGGCGGATGAAGGAGGTGCGCCCTGTCCGCACCTAGTGGGCGGAGAGCCCTGCGCGCCTCACACGTACTCCTGGCATGTAGCTCCCTGGGACGACTGCCAACCTCTAGGTGAGATTTAATTTTAGCGAGAAGGTTCCATAACCGGTCTGCCTCTTCTGTTCTAGGGTTACTAAATTATACTCCGTTATAGCTTTAGCAGCCTACAAAATATTAATGTAGCAATAAAATTAAAATAACGTATTTATTTGTGTTCTCACCCAGGTGGTTCTCCGTGTGGCGAAGGAACAAAGAGGAGATCTGTTCGATGCTTACGCAGTGACGGAGTATTTGTTAATGACACATTCTGTCCTGTAAGTCATATTTTTGTTAATACTTTTACAATCAGATTAGCAAAGTGGTCATTAATAACTATATTATTTTGAAGACACAGTTTATGCTAAGTTACGCGTGAATGTTACTAGAATGCTACTGCAACGGAGGCGCGCGAGTCGTGGTGCTACGTGCCGTGCGGCGTGGACTGCGAGCTGGGCGAGTGGAGCGCCTGGGACACGGCCGCTTGCGCGTGCGGCGACGCAACTTTCGCACGACACATGCGACGCACTAGGTATTCTGCTATGAGACTCTAATCCGGTCAATTTTATCTTATAACGCCTTATCATTCTAAAAGCCACTACCGTGTCACTTCCATAGACAAAGACTGACTGCTGCGGTATGGCCGGGACGGGCGTGTCCGCCGACTGAGCAGCGAGCGCCCTGCCCACGCGAGCCCTGCCTGCGACTCATCGCAAGACCTTCGCTCGGCTGCCACGTTCAGGTAAATCAAATTGGTATACATTTACCGTTTCCACTTTTCTTCACTAGTCCGCGAACTCGTACTCAGAATGTCTATTTACTGTCCTTCACAACCCAAAGTTCATCACCTGCTTTCTCCAATTACCCTACATCGAATGTAGCGAGGATTACCGCTGACTGAAACGTCATAAACAATATTATCATCATCTTGTGGAGATCACTTCAAACACTGCTAAATTAACTGTGTTCAGACATCAACCGGTGAGGAAGCGGACAACGCGTGCGGCTGGGGGGTGAAGGTGTCGTACGCGCGCTGCGAGCTGGGCGGTGCGGGGGGCACCGTGGAAGCGTACTTGGAGCCCTGGCGCTGCGCCGCCGCACTGCCCGGCCGTATTACCGCCCCACCGCTGCACTATCAAGTAATATGCAATGCCTTTTTTCTATTGCGTTTATTTTCATACGATTAAAAATTATAAATTGGCACGAGCGCTGATTGGTCGACCTCTAATTAACCATTTACGAATATATCATCGCACGGCAAATAAACTTAAGTTGTGTATATATAGGAGGACGAAACATGTGAGGTGGAGTGCGGCTGCAAGGAATCTGAGCTCGGTCAACCGGGGCCGTGGGGAGCGTGGGGCCCGTGTCGTGGCGGCTCGCGCTCGCGCACGCGTCAACTGCTCGTACCGCCTTCCAGACCCTGTAGAACATCCTCCAGGTAATGACAATTGGTAGTTGTTTGTATTTTGTGATTTATTCAACGGGTCTAGCATCTCGAGTCACACATTAACTTTTGAGAGATTGGATTCTGAATTAAATTTTCATTCCAACATTCGCTTTAATGAGTACTATTATCAGATATGTAACAATCGAGTGGGCGAACTGCACCGGATCCCCCGACGAGATCTCTGACCTGCTGTCCGTAGACCGGGATGAGAAGCCGCGCCGCGCTTGGATGGACCGCGCCAGCTACCACGACGGCTATATTGGTAAAACCCCCGCGTTCAATGACTCTCTAAAACATAAATAAACTGTTTAACTAAATACAGAAGTTGTCGTTTCACTAAAACCACAATTCACTAGTATCTTTTCATTATTAACAACGTAAATTATAGAAATGTTTTGCATATCCTAGCTTCGTGGTGGTCAAATCTAAAACATATTAAAATATTTTGAAATTAAAAATTATGTAACGTATTCTTTGCTGCTGTCTCCATAAAGGTATATACAAAGTGCTCGTTTTAAGTATTATTTTATGTCGCCGTTGAGATATTACAATGTATCGCTTTGGAAAATTAGTTTAACTTTTAAATATTTGTACAATTATTTGGTTGCAGAGGGCAGCGGGTCTCTGCTGCTGGCCGTGTGGGTCGCGAGTATGGTGCTGCTGTCTTGTGGCACTTACATGTTCTATCGCGGATTAGTGAGGTACGAACTTTTCCATACTCTTACAGTCTGTGTCGCCAAACATTGCTTGAATGGTGTCGTCTACCCCAGCAGTCCATGTGTTTGCCAATATATAACTACTAGCTGCCGCCCGTAACTCCATCAGCGTGGAATTAGAAAAAAAACTTAATTATTAGTTTGTCGTTTTCCACTCTGTGTTATACATCTATGCCAAATTTCAGCGAGATCCATGCAATATTCATCGATCCATCTAACCAAACTTCCGGTTTTATAATATTTGCTGAGGTTTTTTATACATGTGTATATAAGCTGAGTTTTTCTACATTAGGTGCATGAAAAGACTGGATTCGAAGAGCATCGCGAAGGTGTAAGCGTATTAAACATGCGACAGCTTTTGAATCCGCGCCATCGCCATCGCTGGCTGAATATCCTCGAAACATATGAAAATGCCAAGGATTTTGTTATTTAGAAGTGGTTACTTTATTATATTACTGTATTTATAATATTTATGTTGTTTTATCAGTCAAGTTTGTTGTTCTATTTACTATTATTTTTATAAAATTTTTAGACATTTTGTAGCAATTAATATTGACGCAGTTCATATTGTAATAATTTAGAAATTGAATATAAACTTGATTGTAATTATATTTGTTGATTTAATGTTATTACCAAAGACAAATCGATGTCGAACATCAAACATTTAATTTAATTGTTATTTTAGGTTATATTTTGTTAAAAATCTCATAGTCTCATTTATAAGTCTAGAAAATGAGCAATGAATGTTCTTTAGTTATTTTTTAATAAATGTGTCTCTAGCTTTTTGTAGAACCTGGGCAATTTCCCAAATATACGATATTATAAGTTTAAAATATATTGATTACCATCTCAATGAATGCCAGTAGTTTTAAGTTTAATAACAATAAGATAGCCCAGACAAGAAAAAATAGAATAACATATTTATTCACGTTTCTTAAAAAATGTCATTGCCGTATTTATTGAGTAAAAAAAATATCAAATTATAGCCAGCAATCAGTCTGTCCGCAGGAGTGCTTCCATGTTTTTATTATAATATAGTGCGCCAATGTAGTTTTATGCGCGCTTTTTGGGTGAATAAATGACTGGATTACGAAATCGGGAGGAATCTAGGAAACCAGAGAGGTTTAGTAATGGTTTTTATAGATATGTCAACACTTATAAGGTTATCTGTAACGTTGGCGCATTTTAGAATAAATTTGTTCAGTCAGCATATCCGCGAATTTCCACTACAGAAAGATAGGAATATTTGTTTTTTTTTCAATGGAAATGAGAATGTCTTTAAACAGGCGATTCGGCAGTGGAAACTCGCGATTTTTAGGAGCGCTAAAGTGAAGCTGACATCTTTTGCAATTTATAAACGTATTTGTTTACAGTAAAATAAACTCTTATATATAATGCTATTTTGTCAGTAAGTCTGTTTTTAAAATATTAATAATTTTCCTAATATGAGTAATTTAGTCGCACAAAACTTTATTCCTCTTTACTGATAATATACATTGATAAATATTATAATTACTTTTACTCAGTTAACTGCCCATTTTGTAATGCAATAAGACTTGGTAGAGACCAATACGACGTGACACATCATGGCACATATCAGTTTTTTAATAAAACCTCACACAACTAAATATCCGTTAGAATTAGTAATTAACTACAGTTAACAAAATACCGATTTAAACTACACTTAAATATAACATTTTTAACTAATTGCTAATGTTTTTATTAGTTAATAAAAATGTTTTGTGATAATTTAATGTATGCAATTTATCTTTATTTTTAATTTCTAGTCTCAGATAATAGCTTTTATAATAAAAAATACATTGCAATTGGCAATGCTTGAATCAAAGACTCATGTAGAGCTTTGGCGCACAAAAATATACTTTAATGTTTTAGATATAAGATCTTATATTAACCAAACAGTTTTGAGAATGTAATCGCGTATAGAAATTAGTAGGATTATTTTAAGCCATGTATTGTGAAAAACATATCTATGTATTACGTGTGTACTTCGTGTCTACTTCTCTCAAAACTCTTCGCAAACTCTCTCACTTTATTTCGACTCTATATTTAATTTTTAATTTATAAAAAAAATGTATTTTTATAACTTTTAACTTTATTTTTTCATAAGTGACTACATTTCTAATTACTTATGAATTCTATATTTTATAAGTGTTGTTCCTTCACGACAATATTTTAATCTTATCGGACTTTATTTTTTGTTTTCATTGGAATATATTCATGCTATATTTTCTTCGGCTTCAGTCGTTTTAAACTTGAACTATATCTTTCGTATGTGTATTTGTAACCTTATTAACTTACATTGATGTGAAACATGATAGCTAAGGAATCGTGTTAGACAATACAATATTTGATATTTAATAAAATTTGATTGTGTTTTATATCTTTGTTTTTTTATTTGCACACCAAATTCTTCTACAGAGTGGTGGCTCAGCTCGAATCCCGCAATGCCCCATTGTGTTTTTCGTTTTCCGATCTACATATGAAGCTCCGAGCCCCTCAGTGAAGACGTATAGTGAGCTGGTCATGATAATGATGGCCAAATTCGTCATAGTTTTTATATTTTTTTTAAAAATAAACGAAAACGGTAAATTTTCTTTCAAAAAATATCATAGGTAGTATATACTTTTATATAAATTAAGTAAATTATTTCTATAATAGTTTATTTGAACAATAAATTAATAAATAAACATGTTTTAATAAATCGCCATCCCTAGATAGCAACATATTGTGATGTGTTATGGAAATCGGTAACAGCTTTCTGAGCCTTCACCATTGTTGGTGAATTAAATGTAAAGACATCCGAGCAAAAGTAATCCTTTATAGACTTCATCTTAACATCTATACATCCGCACGATGTTTTGCCATCATGATTGATCATTGAACACACCACATCCGAAAACAATTTGGGTTGAAACTTATCAAACTGCACCAAATTGGGACTGATGACACCCATTCTGCAGGCTAGAGTATCCATGTCGCAATAAAACAAAGGAATGTTGTATGACTCGGCCAACGCCTTGAATATCTTCCAGTCGTGACGAGCTTTGCCCGGCGGCGACACGGCGGGCAACGCGAACTGGACTCGACCTTCCATATTCAAAAATGTACCGCCGGATTCAGTATACGCACACCCCGGTAAAATAAGAGAAGAATACTCAGCTCCCCGGTCACCTTGAAATCCGACATAAATCACTGCGCATTCGCACGGCGGAGTCCAATCGTAAAATGTGTCGTCTGCTCCTAGTGAAATTACCAATGTCGGCTTTTCCGCGTTCAATGCTGCAAGCGCACCGGGCTTCCAGCCTACCTCCATTGCACCAGCGAAGCTTGCTTCTAATGTGACAATGTTTAGTACTCCCCAATCTAATGACGACCTTAACGATTTCGCCAGGTCGCATAAGGATGTCATTAATCCACCAGCAAAATCGGTACACAATTGGGATACGCCGACAAATATGAGCGGTTTCTTCGCATCTTTCATAATAGTCTTGGCACAAGTTATCGACCTCGTATCCGATCCCAAGTACTCGACGTGATAGTTGTATTCGCACTCCGGTCCGATCACATAAATATCACACTCATTAAAGATATAAGCCTGCCTTATCCACGTGTTTAAGATTGGCGCTTCGAAGCGGGGGTTAGTACCTACAAGCAATATTTTATCAGCTTTTGCAATATCCTTCATACTAACGTTAAGGCTATACGCTGATCTGATATCGGCACCCGACCCTGTGAAGGCGAGAGAGCGCTCTACGTATGTGTTCTCACATCCGATCACGTTAAGAAGATCTTTGCAAGTGACCAATGTTTCAACGTTGCAATGTGGGCCAGCTATAGCCATAATTCTATTAGGAGATGACGACGATTCCTTTAACAGCTTACAAGCCAATTTTAAAGCAACGTCCCATTCAATAGGAACGAGAGAGTCATCCTCGTCCCGACACATGGGCGTAACCAATCTTTGCATCTCCAGAGAATCGATAGCCCAACGTCCTTTGTCCGATAACCATTCCTGGTTGACTTCGTTGTTTTCACGAGGCAACACCCTCAGGACCCTGTTAAACCGCTGATTTAGGATAATATTTGTGCCCGTCGCATCGGTGACGTCGATGGAGTTCACTCTCTTGACCTCCCATGGCCTTGCTTTGAACATGTACGGAATCGCCGTTAAAGCACCGACTGGACAAAGATCGATAATATTTCCAGATAGTTCTGAGAAAAACTTTTTATCTACGTAAGTCCCGACAAGCATTTCGCCTCCACGTCCGGTTGTGCCTAATACATCCATGCCGCAGACTTGCGATGCGAATCTTATACACCTAGTGCAATGGATACATCTCGTCATCTCTGCGCGGATCAGAGTCGAAAGATTTTTGTTCTCGACGGCTCGCTTCCCTTGAAAATGTATTTCGGTGAACCTGGTTCTGTCGTTACCGAATCTCATAGTCAAATCTTGTAAGTCGCATTCACCACCTTGGTCACAAATCGGACAATCAAGAGGATGATCGGCTAGAATGAATTCTAGCACGCCTTCTTGAGCCTGTAGTGCCATTTTTGAATTAGTGCGAATCTTGATGTCTTTGTACACTGGAGTAGCGCAAGCAATTTGCGGTTTCCATCCGCCCTCTATTTCCACGAGACACATTCGACAATTGCCAGCTATAGACAAACGGTCGTGATAGCAAAATGTGGGGACAGTCACCCGCTCCCTTCGTAAAGCTTGTAGCACTGTAAAGTAACTCGGCACCTCTACAGCCTTACCGTTTATAAAAACGTTCACATTTTTGCTTTGGTTCCTCCTTGGAATTTTCTGGAAGATTCCACTTGCATTTGCTATCAACTTGTCGTAAACTCTAAACATATTTTACATATGTTCAAGCGTACCACAATCTTAAAAATTCAAAAGGTTACTTAAAAGTTTTATGACAATCAAATTGAAACATTTGACACCATTTACTGGCATCAAAATAAAATATCCTATCTACAGCCAGAATTAAACATGTGAATGTGTTAACACGATACGATACGAGTAGTTTTAAGTAGTTATCGAATTCACTGGGTCCATGCACACTCGGACTGTGAAAACGCGGCTTTAGACAAGTATACAATGACTTCATGTTAAGAAAATGTATGTAAATAACCCAACCAGAACCTAATATTAACATTATAATCCATAAGCTTATAATCTTATTTAACGATTTATTTTTATTTAACTAAATTTTTACCTATGTTTACATACACCATATTTTATAATCTTGTTTTAATTATTATACCTTGCAACATTTTTGGGTCTTTTTTCTCGGCGATTCTTTTATTTACGTTGAAATTTTGTTTAGTTTTAAATCAGTCGGCTCGGCGGTTTCATTATTATAAATATTAAGAAACCTACCGTAGTACCGAATTTGAAACATCAAATAAATATTATTTATATGCATGTAATTCTACTATAACATGCAAAGATCATATAAAAGCGATACCTTGTTGGTACCGTCATGTAAAAAAACCTACTGTCAACGTCGACCACCCCTCCCCTCCTCATGCACCGAAACCAATTCATCTTGTCATATCCATCGTTAGATTCTTAATATTTTTTGAGTTCTTAAATTATTTTCATTTTTTTGGTTTGTAAAAAGTTTTATTGTATAAAATCATCCGCAAAGTAACATTTAATTGGTGGTAAGTAAATGTTATTACTGTGAAATGAATAAGTAGCACATGTCACCAAAATGAAATTCAAATTACCTTAGATGAGAATTAATGCCAAATTTTCTTTCAGAATATTACAAAATCCGCTTCAAAGGCTTCAGGCTTCGGCCTGTAGCCATTGATATTTATTCAAACCTCAAAAATCAACGAAACATAGTAAAAATTAGTGTTTCTTTTATAAGTATTTAGCAAAGTATTTCACAATATTTCTCAGTATTTTTTTTACAATATCCAAAAATGTCTGAGTGGAATAATTCTTACGGCTATAACAACCAATTCCAAGTGCCGCCTAATTCATGGAATCGAGATTTAAATGGGCAATATGTAAATCAACCATACTATGACAACAGACAATATGAGTCAAGCAACCAATATGTAAGTTTTAATGAATTTTTAACACAAATGCAGGGTAATGGTGTTCCACAAAATAATGCTTCTAATTACAATAATGTACAGTACCAAGCATATCCAACTAACCAGTACAACTACCAAAATGTACCAACACAAAATCCACAGATGGAATTTGGTTATGGACACCATAACCCTAATGCAGGTAATACTGTAGACACTTATTCAGTTAATGTTCAAAATCAATACAACCAATCAGTACCCGAGTTAAATACTTATTCAAATGAAGTTGTAATGAATTCAAAATTGACACCAACTGCAACAGAATTTGTACCAAAATGTTCTATTAATGTGGCATCTACTTCTCAAAGTACTTCACAAGAAACTTCAGTTACAAAAGACGCACCAGATAACAGAAGCGGTAATTCTAAATCATCAGAAAGCAATTGGAGAGAAAGACCTAGCAACAATGAAACAGCTAACTCACAAGGTGAAATGAACAATTTTAGTCGGTATCAAAAAAATTATAAAAATACAGAAGGTAATCGTAATCGTGAGTCTAATAATCGTTATGAAAATAAACGTAATAATGAATCAAACCAAGAATTAAATGGGCGCTACCGTAATGGACATAGTAGTAATAATTATCAATCAAACCAACAAAAAGAATCATCGGTCCAGAAAGAACCAGAAAACTCAACTAATGAGACCTCCAACCATCAAAACGAAAATCAACGAAATTTCGAAACGGGAAACCGAAACGAAACAAGAAGATATGCAAATGAAAATAATCAATCAAAATCAAATTCTAAATCAAAAAATAAAGATTCGGACGCAGGTCGTACTTTCTATAACAGTTCTATTAATAAAAATAGTCAAGATGTTAGGAATGGTAGAGGGGAAAGTTCTGGAAGAAATCGAAACTGGATTGGCAGTCAACGCGTCCGGACAGTAGAACGTAATAATGTTGAAGATGAACAATATGCTAATACTTACATGCATTATAGAGATGAAAGAGTGGAACGAGTAGCAAATAATAAGCATGAAAAAACCGCTAGTCCAGCAAAAGGAAGAAATAAGCCAACTAATGACTCCGGAGGTATGTAAAAGCCTAAATAAATGTAAAAGATATTCTTCATTGCAAGTCTCATACATGTCCATTTCCTTTTTTAACCGCAAAGCATATTTTAATAATACCAAAACTTTACAGTAACTTTATCATTAATTATATTTTCATTGTTTCATATTAATTTTTATATCATAAAATAATCAAAAATATTTTGTCTTTCAGGCAACACCAACGTGACACAACGTGAGCGCCTCACTGAACAATTAGACAAGGGTACTTTAGAATGTCTGGTGTGCTGTGAAAGAGTCAAACAGACTGATTCTGTATGGTGGTGTTCAAATTGTTATCATGTTTTACATCTTAGATGCATAAGAAAATGGGCCATAAGCAGCTTAGTTGGTAAGTTACATAATCAAGTTGAAGAAATAATTAGTCAAATCTATCTAGTTTAAATATTACCTTTTTTAACTTGTATTATCTGTATTATTAGTTTTTCATTAATAATACAATAATTGTAACTAACAGAAGGCAAATGGAGATGTCCGGCATGCCAAAACACGAATGAAGACATCCCAACAGAGTACCGTTGCATGTGCGGTGCTGTTAAATCACCAGAGTACTCACGTGGCTCGGTCAGTGCTCACACATGTGGCAAGTCGTGCCGTCGACCAAGGAACTGTCCACATCCCTGTACTTTACTCTGTCATCCTGGTCCCTGTCCACCTTGCCAAGCGACGATAAGCAAGTAAGTTAAATATGATGGGATTAGCCACAATATTTATATGATTTGGTATGAGAATTGATGTTTCCTTCAAATTTTATAATCATAAATTATGTGTAATTTTGATAACCAATGTTAGGAACATTTTTTTTTTATTTTACCTGGCAAAGTAACAAAAACTTTTTCTTAACAAACATTATTGAATTTCCAAAGCTTAATCTAACTAATAGCTTATATTGTTTGTTTTAAAGCAGTGAATAATATTTTTATTTTGTTAGACAATGTGGGTGTGGTGCGGAGACTCGTTCGGTGCTATGCAGCAGTAAGTTGGCGCAGCTGTGCGGTCGTGCGTGCCGTCGCAAGCTCAGCTGTGGCGTACACGAGTGTCAAAGAGAGTGCCACGAGGGACCCTGTGATGAATGCACAGAAATTGTCACACAAGGTATTTACAAAAATTATGTAATGTTTATACTTTCACTAGCTGTTGCCTACGAGTCTGCGCGAAATTAAAAGAACTCTTCATTTGTAGCCTACGTGTCCATTTAGACTACCGCCATATTTCAACTAAATCCGTTGAGCTGTTTCAATGATACCTTCACAAACATCCATCCATCCAAACATTTGCTTTTATAATATTAGATAATAGGATTAATTAATTACGTTGTGTTATCATCAGTGTGCTACTGCCCCGCGGCTAAGACGCGGTCAGTACCGTGCACGTCGGACACGAGTGGCGAGCAGGCGTGGTCGTGCGGCGCGGCGTGCGCGCGCGTGCTGTCGTGCGGCGCGCACGTGTGCCGGCGTGTCTGCCACGCCCCGCCCTGCGCGCCCTGCCCCCTGCGCCCTGACAACGTGCGCTCCTGCCCCTGCGGCAACACTAAGTAACAATACCTTTTTGCCCAATTCTCAGGAAATTCACTCCGACAGCTATTTTATCTTTGTATGATTTTTTTTTGTTGGAATGGCAATTGTAGATTATTTTAAAGTTCCTGTGGATAGTTATATTATATATATTTATTTTAAAACAGGATAGAAAAGGATCAACGGAAATCCTGCACCGACCCGATTCCTCTATGCGGTAACATCTGTGCCAAGCCATTGCCCTGTGGTCCGGAGGGAGATAAACACTTTTGTAAACAATTGTGTCATGAAGGTATGTCTTTTTGACACATTTTATTATTTTCAAATGATCAATGATAAGCTACTTAGATGATGAAAATATAGACCCCATAAAAAAAATAGTTGCTATATCTTCATAAAAACTAAAAAAATAGATTTATTTCATTTATTTAATCATTAAATTCTTCAATTTACAGGTCCGTGTCCGACTTGTCCCGATAAGACTTTGTTGCCGTGTCGCTGCGGACATTCGAGCCGAGAGGTGCCCTGCTCAGACCTCCCCGACATGCTGAACAATGTCTTCTGCCAGAAGAAATGTAACAAGGTAAATCACCGCAGTGGATTAACCAACTTCATTTAAACCTCACCTTAAAGATAACATTATGGGCTTAACAATGTTTAAGCTTTATTTTTTTAGTTGTTACTATGTAGGAATTTATCAAACTCGCACTTGACCTCTGTCTTAATCATTTTTATCAAAATATGTAATGATAATATTGAATTTCATAATTAAAATTAGTTATACCTATTTTTTATCTTTTCATATTTAACGGCAACTATTTTATAAATAATGCTTGACTGTCAAGATAAATTTCAATTTTAGGTTATAAGGGTGATGCTAGGGGGAGGTACGGGGGGGTAGCTTCCGAGCACAAACTTTAAACTCTAGTTTAAAGTTTGTGCTCGGAAGTCTACAATAGTAATAAATTAATCTCCCATAATTTAAAAAAATGTGTTATTTTAGACATTATTGGTTAGATTCGTTTTGCGCGAATGACGTGCTTGCATTACCAAGTCAAGTGTTGGAATGATAGGTGAGGGGACATAAACATTGATATTTTAATAAGGCCAGAGTTGCGCCGATACACCGGCACTGTGTCGGTTTTTCTTCCTAACAGTTGTTATTTACAGAAGTTGTCTTGCGGTCGTCATCGTTGCCGCACTGCTTGTTGCGCGGCGCAGTCGCACAGATGCGCGGTGGTGTGCGGACGCACGCTGTCCTGTCAGCTGCACCGCTGTGAGGAGTTCTGTCACACCGGACACTGCGCCCCCTGCCCCCGCGTCAGTAAGTGACACACTTTAAAAATACAAAAATAATAACATATTTTAAAATGTCTCATGAAAGATGTACTGTTCGTCGCGTGGGTGGACTTGACCGTGACTAATAAAACGTGATATTTTATGAAAAAGCGAAAAAAGCATAATTTATTTAGAACTTTCGTATGTTTACTATATCTTAGATATTTTGTGTATTTCTGAATTTACAGATTTATATCTACTAGCGCTATAATTTTCATGGAATGTAACTTTGTCCGTGTTCGTACTTAACGCACAGCTGAATATTGCTGTAAAGTAGTCCAAATACATATATAAAAAAGGTCTATTGACATTTTGCTAAAGAAACGTTATTAAAAAAAACAATGTCTTTTCAAGGTTTTGAAGAGCTGCATTGTGAGTGTGGCATGGAAGTGTTATTGCCACCAATCAGGTGCGGAACACGTCCGCCCGTGTGCCACGCCCCCTGCCGGCGCGAGCGACCCTGCCACCACCCGCCGCACCACTCCTGCCACACCGGAGACTGCCCGCCCTGCGTTGTTCTCACCACTAAGATGTGCCATGGAAAACATGAGGTACAAAATATATGAATATCTTACTAATATTATAAATGCGAATGTTTAGATGGATGGATGGATGTTTGTTTGATAGTAACTCTAGAACGGCTGTATAGACCTCGCTGAAATTTGGTATTGATGTAGAACATAGTCTAGAAGGACTTGTAGAGTTTTTTTTTATTTCCGCGCGGATAGAGGCAACATATTATGTAATAAAATGTAATTATTTTCTTTAATTCAATTCCATTGTATTAAGTAATCAGAAGAATGCCAAATCTCACATGGCGGCCATTTAAATGATTCCCTGTTTTAGTTATTTTAATATTTTTGACAGATTGTAATTTTTTTTTCATATATCGAAAAAAAATTGATTTGGGCAGAAATAGAGTAATTTTTATATTATGCAGTATTTTGATAGTAATAATTTAAAATAATGTAGTAAGATTGTTGTCATACTATGTAACCAGGAGCGGAAGACAATACCGTGCAGCCAAGAGGAGTTCTCGTGTGGGTTACCGTGTGGCAAGCCCTTACCATGCGGTAAGCACACCTGCACGAAGACCTGCCACAAGGGACCCTGTGATACTGACAAGTAATTATATTTTATTTTGATGAAATTGACGAACATATCCTTATCTCAGTTTTTTTTAATAATAAAGAGCAGGATGACACGAGGAAGGATATTTTGTACTGTTTATTTGGCACTAGATTTAACAAGTAGCTTGATCAAACATGTTTGATCGTTTATTGGGCTCTATATTCCATTTAACATAATATATTTGATAGAAAACAATTGTTATCTTAATATTACGTGTGCAGATGTAAGCAAGCGTGCACGGAGAAGCGCGCAAGCTGCGGACACCCGTGTGCGGCGCCCTGCCACGTGGACAACGGCGGAGTCTGCCCCAGCGCCGCGCCCTGCCGCCGCCTCGTGCGTGCCACATGCGCCTGCGCACGCCGCTCAGCAGACAGGCCCTGCCATGAGAACGCCAGGGATTACGCTAAGTATGTACTATCAAACCTTGTATATAAAAAACGTCACTATAATGTACTAAATAAAATCCTAATATTTATAACTGTTTATCTTTCAGAATGATGAGTGCGCTGGCAGCTTCGAAAATGCAAGAGGGAGCCTCCCTGGACTTGTCTGAAGTGCATCGCCCCGGAGCTATGCTGAAGACGTATGTATAAAAAATTCTACTTGTACCCTGACCAATGAAACAAGCCGAAAATGTTGGCAAACTTTCTTTCATTGCGAAAGCTTATGACCGGCATGTTCAAAATTGGATGGAACTCAATAAGTCAGTTTGTTGATGTTACTTTTGTTATGTAGTCTAGAGTGCGACGACGAGTGTCGTATGGAGGCGCGCAGCCGGCAGCTGGCGCTGGCTCTGCAGATCCGCAACCCTGACGTATCCGCCAAACTAGCGCCACGCTACAGCGAACACGTGCGCTCCACTGCAGTGCGCGAGCCCGCCTTCGCACAGAACGTGCACGACTCCCTCACTGAGCTAGTGCAACGCGCCAAGAAGGTATCAGACACGCCCCCTGACATTTATGCCCCGCCTCTAAACACTCTCGGCAACGCCTCCTATTAACATTAATACAAGGGAGCGGAAAGGGAATACTCGACACTATTTTAACCTTCAATGTATTTTTTCAGTCTAAGCAGAAGACGCGCGCGCACTCTTTCCCATCGATGAATCGTCAGAAGCGTCAGTTCATCCATGAGTTGTGCGAACACTTCGGCTGTGAGAGCGTCGCATACGACGCAGAGCCCAATCGCAATGTCGTCGCCACCGCTGACAGGGAGAAAGTACGTAAATACAAACACAATATGTTGGACATACTAATAGATTGTTCATACTAAGTCTTCACAGGGTACGGCATATATCGACCCAAATTGATCACAATCAATTTGCTAGTTTCCGAGTTTATTTCGGACAAACATGAGATTTGTATTCATATGTGTATTGTTTCCAGTCGTGGTTGCCAGCGATGAGTGTGCTAGAAGTGCTGGCGCGGGAGGCAGGCAAGCGGCGCGTACCAGGGCCCGTGCTGCGCGCGCCCGCCGCACCTCCGCCCACGCCTGCGCTCGCCACGCCCACTACATCCGCCAGGTACACCAAATTTATCAAAAAATGTCACCTTTAATCAAACTTCTCTACTTCTAAATTCCCTTAATTTAATTCCTAAAGATTCAAAGTTGATACACGCTACACCTTTTTGTAAAACAAAACCTTGTTAAAAATTATCATGGTAATCGAACTGTATTTAGGTATTTTCTGAACATCCAGTATATTTTAATTAAAAATTAGCATTTTTCACTTATAGATTCCGTATCCGTACTTACTCTCAAAATTGTCACATTACAGCAGAAGTACCGGAGGCTGGGCAACATTGACATCGACCAATGCGTGGGCGGCTCGCAGTCAGCCCGCGCGCTCCGAGCCCAAGATTGACTACTTTGATAACCCGCCTGATAACTAAACGATGGCTCATACGTCCAGGGCAGTCAGGTCATGTACAGTCGGACCTGAATAACCGAGAGTCTAAGGGACCGCGATATTTTTCTCGCTTATAAAGGTTTCTCATTATCCCGGTTCGACTTTATAACTGGGTTTCTAGTGACGTGATACTTGTCTCTGTTTTTTTTTCAAGATAATTTAAGAGATGACAATATCTTACAATATCACAGAAATAGAAGCCTAAAGTAATTCAGCTAAATTTGCATATGTACTTGTGAAGATGTTTTTTTTTTATTTATTATATTTTGTATGAAATCTGTTTGCATAATACAACTTTTTGTACATTTGCCTCGTCTGGACGAATTAGTGTAAGATATACAAACATCATTATATAGTCAATTGTTTGTCTTAAAAGATTTATTTAATAGTCAAATACTTTGGTACTTTCCAGTTTTAGATGCGGTGTCAAAATTCAAGCTAAAAAAAAAATAAAAAAAAAAATAAATTAATTACTATTGCATTGAAACAAAACGCCGCGATTCTAGAGTGTGATTTTTTAAATTTTTATGATAATATTCTTTATCGAATGAATCTGACCTAATTCAATCGATATGTGGATTTATAGATATTAAGTCCCAATTGGGTTAACCAATAACTTATGTATTGTTTTTTATTTATATACATGGTGTTCAAAAAAAATTTGAAGGTACTATTTTACGTTATAAAGACTACGATGCCTATCAATTAAGTACACGGAAATTTCTGAATCGATAATATTGAATGATTACAATCCGTTCACGATAACATGATACTTGCAAAATATTTAAAAAAAATGTACAACCAGTTTGTCGATTAAAGGTTTGTTATTAATATAGCTTAACTACTTAATTGCTTTAAGTTTTTGTAAAAGCAAACTGTTATTGAGCAGGTATCATGTTATTATGTTCGTGTACATTTTTATGATAATTAACGTTATATCTTTAAAATTGAAACAATAATAATCTTTGCCAGTTCATTAAATTATTTAGTAGCAATCAATAATACAAATAATCGAAAATATCCAAAAAAAATATTCAAAAGCGAAAATTGATTATAAAAAAAATAATATTACTCGTTTTTAGATAAGACTAAAGAAAATGGCCTGGAATACAATCTTGTTCATTTGAAAAAATGTAAACACGTGTTTGTACCAATGTTTTATAGTTAATTAATATCAGTAGAAGAAAAATATGAGAAAAAAATTGCTATTCAAAATATTTAACGTTCCATAATACTTAGCCTTTTTTAACGTTACTTGTGTGGGTTTTGACGTCAAAGCTAAGAGAGAAATCCAAGTCCATATTTTTCTCCCTTGTAGAGATTCCTCGCTTAGCATGAAAGGCTAGACAAAGTGCATTTGCTTCGAATCGATTGCATAATGAACTTCAAAAATGTATGGAACTGACGCACGATAATAACGTGACTAATCGAAAGTTATTGTCAGTTCCATACATTTTTAAAGTTCGTTATGGAATTACTTCGAAGCGAATGCATTTTTTCTAGTTCCGCTGGTTCAACTGTATTGTGGTCTCTTTCTGTTCAAAGAGAATTTGAGAGATGACAAAATGTCAACACAAGCTATTATATTTGAACCCTAAAGTTCTCATCTCAACACATTTTGGATGTTTTTTTCTTTATACAATTTTCCGGTTTTGATTTAACAGCCAATAATATAACGTATAAAAAATATTATAAGAATGAATATATTGTAGTCTTCGTTTATTAAAAAAAATGTTTTTTTTTTCTAGAATCGTAGATAAAAAGAAAAAAATCGTATTTAATGATTTTTTATTTTTTTTCCAATTTCCATTTATTTAAAAAATATTATAAGTAATAGTAAATTAATACAAAAAATTTATGTCTAAATTATCTTTGTTTATTTATGAAAAGCGCATGTGCAGTACCAATTACAATATTGGTCTTGGTTTTGAACCATAGAGATCATAGAGACAGGTCAGAGGATTAAAACGAAAACTATTGTCTATGATTCATCCAATATCATTTTACCAATGTTAGCATAATCATCACATTACTCATAGGTTAAAAATAGCCTATCTTTTCATCATTTATTTTCTATTGTATTTTTTATTTCAATAAAATTAAATGTCATTTTTTATTTCTTTATTACAAAATTAAAGCTGTTTAAGTAATTAATTTTAAAACTCGTAGTATTGAACGTGAGTTTTCACGGCGGATACACATAAAAAAAATCTTTTTTTAAACAAAATAAGAAGAATTAAAATACAGTCAAACCTGGGTATGTTTAATTGTAACTCGAGTTTCACGCTTATGGAGGTCGTCCGTCGGGACCGGACAATGACTCTCGCTTGTAGAAGTTTCTCGCTTATTCAGATTCGACTGTAAAGTTTTCGTTGTGGAAGTGAAAACGACGTTTATATCGTCGAATAAATTCATTACTAATGTCCATAAATATATTTTTCATTTGTATCTTACTTTTTTTAGTTTTGCTTCTTCCTTTTTTTTAAATTTACTCTTATAAATATTAGCTTACGTATACTTCTATGTATCATCACTGCCAATACAATATTAGGTATTAACAGTATTTATAAACGGTTAAACAAGGGTTACACGGAATTTTATTGGACTAGTTAATAACCATGGGCTACTTTCTACCATAGGTTACCTATTTCATCTTTAGAAAAATTTGTACTTTTCACGAGATGGACAGTGGAAACCTACCCTAAGATTTTTTTTCTCTATCTTCTGTTTTCAAGTTTTATAAAACCTTTTGTTCTTAAAGTACTAACCTGACTAACCGTGGGTTTCTGGGATCAAAATCCTCATTTAAAACAAATCGTTATCTCTGTTTTGTCAAAGATAATGATGACGATATGTTTTATACGGAGATTTTGGTCTCAGAAACCAACGGTATAAAGATTAATATTTCATTTCAAGCCTCAGTTGTTTTTTTTTCATGTTTATATTTTTACGACAGATAATAAATGCATTAACATATCGCACGAATAATGTGTTCTAAATCATATTTAGCGTTTAAGAAACATATTTGTAAAATTCAATTGCAACGTTATGTACCAATTGTTTTGGAACTTTCGTAACGAAGTCAATGAATTTAAAGGTGACTGGGTTTCTTTAATTTTTTCGTATTAAAATCAATGTTATGGTTTAAATTAACTGTTGTACAGATAATTGTGTAATAAAGAGTATAAAAATCGATGTTTTTCTTTCTCATTACCCAATTCATGTTTCAAATCAAATAATACTAACTTTTGTCCGTGGCTTCGTGAAAAATTAAAAAAAAAACGGTAGTATGTTAGTAATAAATGACAAATGACTTTCAAATGACAAAATAGTTTTTAAAATTGGCCAGTTACTCAGAGTTTATTCGTTACATCCAAAAACAAACAATCTTTCCTCTTTATAATATCAGTATAAAAGTACTTACTTCTTAAAAACATTTCGACAATGGAACTCTAAAATAAAAATACAAATTGGGATGAATTATTTTTATTAACAATTTTTTTTTTACTATTAATCTTCAAGATCTTTCAACACACTGTCTATATATCGAGACAATTTAATCATAGGATTAACAACTTTCTTTACTCTACGACAATTACAATTTTGACTGCACGAACGTTTAGGTAGATTGCTCTCCTCGAGCCATCTGTTTGTCGTCGAACTATTGAATATTCGTATTCTAGGCGAAAATGTTTCAACGCTCGGTAAACAATGAAAAGCGTGACTGTCATCTTTTATTTTATTTTTCACATTTCTTCTGTTTCTTCGTCCAATGTTTATCAATTTTAACTGTTCCTAGAAAATACAACGTAATATTAAAACTATTATTAGTCTTTCGAAATATCTTGGCGTTTCAAGGTCATCGACGATGCGCAGCACCCTCCCCCGCATCCCGCCCAAATGTCCAAATGAAATTTATGGATAGATTTGAATTTTATTTAGTTATACAAATAGAGTTACTTCCTTATGAAATGGAACCTTTTTCGTCGTATTACCTTTACAGTGCTCGATCTTTGTGTTCCTTTGGATATATGTGAAGGAGTGTAATGTTTCTTCGTAAGATTATTGTTGCCGGAGTAGTTTACATCATTGTCAAATTTAATAGGCGTAACGTAGGGCTGCAAAATATCACCTAAAATTTAATATTTTCTAAATTTTGGTAAAGTATTCATTTGTATTTTATTATTACCGCCTGTAATTTCGAAATTGATTTCCACAAAGGAATTCTTGTTTGTATTTGTTGCTTGTGCTGCAGATCATGCTGAAATAGCCCCAAGACTAATGTCAACAACATTTTATTACAAAAGAAAACAGATTTCTTAAGTTGATTTCTTATATACATTCTCCTTACATATATTTTTTTTTAACTTAAGGTTTCATAGCAGAAAAAATTATCTCGTATTTTTTGTGTTAAGAATAATTATTTCAATTAAGTGAACTTTGCTACCATATATTTAAATTTCAAAGATTGTTCTAAATATCTAAATTGAGAACTGTTTTGATATAACAATAATTTACACTTACACATTTTATTAACCCCCTTCCAAAGAATATCGCAAAATAATACAGCGGTTAAGAGTTGAGTGCTGCAATCGTAGTAGCAATTGCCTGCAAAATCAATGGGAGAACGTTCAAATATTATATATTTTACTAACAGAAGTACCATGAAATGTATTTAAAAAAGTAAATTACCACGATTCAGTCGCATTACTTGGTAAGCGAAAGAGACCAAACCCGACCATATCGCCAACAAACTATTGTCGTACTCCGCTTTGTAAACTGAGCAGTGTTTCAGAGATTTTATCGGCTCCTCGGTTTTATCTACAAAAGATTGTTTGGCATATTTCTCTAAACACTGAATATTTTCTTTCATAGCTTCGAGTTGCATATTAACACTCTCCTCGATGTTTTGTTTGACGACGTTCAACTCTGTATTGAGGTCTGAATTGGTCTCTATTTCTCTCTCTAAGGTGTTGGAGTTTTCTTGATAGGTTACAGCTGGCTTATTATCACTAGCGTCTTGATATCTGGTTCGTTCGTAAGACAGATCATACGTTTGATCTGAATTTACGATGGTGTCATCTGATTCTTGAAAGCCGCAGAAGTTGTCGATGAAGTCGTTAGTGCTAACGCTGGTGAGAGTGCCTGCATCGCTACCCATGCAGCTTTGCATGCGGCCCTCACTGTTGCAGGAGACCATCTGGTTGCAGTAATGCCGTCGCGCGCGCCGTTCTTCTAACTCCTTATGCAATAACTTCTCTTGACAAGATCTATCACGCAACACTTGAGCGCCATCTATCTGATTTTTCTCCAAAGATTTGTATTGCTCGTATAGATACCAAGACTGGACTCGCTTGGCTTTTTTACCTGGATCTAAATATTTAATTATATTGATTTATCTTTACGAATAAAAATAAAGAATAACTTAAAGTGTTGATCTAATCTTTTTATTAAATGATCGAGCTAATAATAAAATAGAAAACATTACTTACGTCGCGTTTCCATTTATTTAGATTCTTACCGTGGACATATAAGTAATTTTTATTTAAGACAAACGCACATTGTAACAAGCACTGGATTGTACCAAACACTACCAAAATAATTAATTTAGAAACGGTTACTATATTAAAATCAATATATTTTTATGAAGATCTATGATGGTGATTTGCCGAAAGTCACATAATTTATGCGAAACAAAAGACATTATGACAGATTAGCAAATAGCGTATTATTTATAAAAGAGGTTATACTATTAGAACTGAACGTGTAAAAAAGTATGTAAGGTCATCAATTTATTCAATGATTATCAATCATGTATCATCGTATTCGGCTATAGAGCCTTTCTAAATAATTTATCCGAAATGGACACAGCCCATCTTTAAGTATTGGTTGTATGAAAAAAGATAATAAGGGAGTCGATTTAAATTGTCTGTTAGAGTGATAATCCAAATCAATATATGCAATTTTAGACGAGGAACCCTTGAGCAACATTACCATGGGATTCCATTGCAGAGACATTCAATAAAAAAACCCCTTTAATGTTCTTTGAATAAAACGATATATTATATCTCTGCATGGAAGTTTCTGCAGTGAAACGTCTTGGTTTTTCAAAAATAACAAAACAAAATAGACTTATACATTTTAATCCGAGACAAAATTATAATAAAACATAGGTTAGTAGAAGAAAATAGCTCCTCCGGCAGGTTGTCTACTATAACCAGGATTAGTCTGTGACGAATGGACGCCGGAGTTCATAAGTTTAACGCTAAACGGTGATTTCCTTTCAGTGATGCCGCCACGCTTCATGGGATGACCCTGGTAAAAATTGAACCTTATTCACTGAGCATGATAGATTATTATTGTATAATTATGTATTCGAAATAAAAAATACTGAAATCAATTTATTTAACACGTATAGTGCCATAGACTTCACTTTTATCCGTAAAAATCAACGTAGTATGTTCTACGTCTTAAGGTTAAATTTTATACAATAGATTTTAATAGAAACCCGTGGCACCGAACTAGTAATTTTATCAGCCAAAATTTCACTTGTGCTCTTCTACACCATACTGACCTATATAGAGTTACCTAACCGTGGCTTTCTGAGTCCATCATCTCTGTATAAAACATATCGTCACCCCTGTTATTATTATCATTGACGAGACCGAGACGTCAATATGATTTAAAAGGAGATATTAGACTCGGAAACCCATGGTTAATCCGAGATGTTCGAGCAGTTAACAAATAATCAATATCCGTTACGGTCAAGACAAAGCAAAATATTAGAAGAAACTTACTAAAGGTATCTTAGGCTTAGGTGGCTTGCCGACAGTGTTTCTGAGGCGCCTCCAAGTCTCGCAACCACGAGTTTCAGGTTGCAAGTACAAATCTTCTTTATCCGCAAAATGCTCATAGGAATGGTCATATGTTGCAGCTAGAATTATGTCCAAACTGTCTTCTGGAATGCTAGGACATTTTTCTAAATTAATACATAAATCTAAAAGTTATGTAAATCAGGTCGTTTCTAATGTAAAATTATGAAATGTGAATTTTATCATTGAATAAAAGAAACGTCTAACCAATCTAAAAAAAATGCTTAAGCAAGACTTCAAATTGTTTACGCTAGTTACCTAACAATGACTACCTTTTAACGAGGGACAGTTAGGAATAAGTTTCCTTGAGCTCCTGAGTAGCGATATTTAAAGTGATTTAAATACTGTGGTAAAGATCCACTTACGAGAATGGGTGATAAAAACTTAATTTCCTAACGCTAGCTAATGTGTGGTGTGAAAAAAGCCTTGAGCCTGCTGGTACTCCATGTTTCTCGGTTGTAGACAATACTATCTCCTTAGAAAGATGCCCCTCTTTTCGCAAGTCTGGAAGAAGCTTTCTGTTTCTGACTTGCTTTATCCCAGCCATTTTGAAAACCTAAATTACCATTAATTTACTCGATTTTGTTTTTTATACTGATAAATAAGATTATCTACAACTCAATTTATAGTTCACAAAAATTTGTCATATTTTAAGTCATTTTGACTACAAACTTAAAGTAACCATGGCAACAAGACACCTAGGGTGATCAACAGAACCAAAGTAAATTTTATTGATAAATTATCTAAATAATATTTAACCGCTTTAGAGATACCTATCTATAATTTAGTTATTTAAATGTATTTTAAAACATGTACCTAAACGGTTAATCCAAAGAGTATATAAAATGGTTAATCTTTCAATGCAACCAGAGCTGTTAAAGTGCATGGCAACTCTAAATTTGTCAATAGACAAAGTGGGACCATAAACAGGAAATAGGAAGTGAAAAATTGAAATTTAGTCTATGATTTGCATGGCTTGGACGCGGTTGTCTCTGTAGAAGTGCGTAATTGTGGAATTTTTAGTGACGCCATCTTGTTTGCCTTTCGTTCCGTGGTTCTGCTTATTCTTTTAACTGTTATACTGAGGACCTAAATAATATCAAAATGAGCTACGGCAGGCCACCGCCACGCATAGATGGCATGGTTTCATTGAAAGTGGACAATTTAACATATCGGACTACCGCAGAAGATTTACGAAGAGTATTCGAGAGGTGTGGCGACGTTGGCGACATATATATTCCCAGAGATCGTTATACGCGAGAAAGCAGAGGATTTGCCTTTGTGAGGTAAAGAACACAAAATAACTTTCATTTCTTTACAATAAAATTGTCCCGCCATTTTGTTAAGTATTTTACGCACATGGTTTTTCACTAATTGTGGTTATTTTTAGGTTCTTCGACAGACGCGATGCTGAAGATGCGCTGGATTCCTTGGACGGGAGGATGTTAGATGGCAGGGAACTTCGTGTACAAATGGCGCGCTATGGTCGCCCCTCTTCGCCATACAGAAGCCGTTACGATCGCCGTCGCAGGTATTATACTTCTTCCTATTTTATTCTATTAACAAAACGAGCAAATCGTGAATCTAACTATCCTTAACATCTTGTAATCATCTGATTGTTAATGAAGTCCAACTACTAACTTATTTTTAAACTCAACATGGCGCCTAATTAAAAGTTGTTTCCCTCCAAGTGGCGCGGGCATGTAATGAGATGGTGGTAACCTATGTTCAATCTTCTCTTTAAAACTGTTAGAAATATCTTGCACCCCAAATTCATAAAATCTGATTCTACATTCACTTTGATGAAGGGAATCGTAAAGTTTATAAATGTTATAAAAGAAAATGTTTCATGTGATAAGGTTTAAAATTTTTTTTTTAATTAAACTTGTACTACTGCTTCATTAAATTATAAGCACATGTTGTGATTGACTAAAACATTTTTAGGAATGTAACAAATGAGATAGCTTTTTGAAAGCCTTAAAATATCTCAAATATTCTAATGTTCCATAGAAAAGTACATACTTAAGAAATTGCTATCCAAAATTTTTATCCTACATCTTACATCTCTTAAGAGGTGTAGGTGTATTACTTATTGTTGGATAAGTCAATTTTGAATCACTATCTTATCAGCAATTTCACCACATATTACTAACAATTATTATTTGTAAATTATCAACAGTTTAACCAGCTTAATCATATTTCAAGTATCAAATCGGCTAAACACTTCCGAAGTAATTCAGTGAACTAAGTTTTGTGTGATAATTTCTTTTAGCTTATCGCGTTCTCGGTCTCGTTCACGTCGTCGATCCAGGTCCCGTTCGAGGTCGAAGCGGCGCTCCTACTCGCGCAGCCGCTCCCGTTCCCGCTCTAGGTCCGACTCGAAGAGCTCCCGCGGACGCTCCCGTAGCCGCAGCCGTTCCCGCTCGCGCTCCCGCCATTGAAGTATTGGGTGAGTTTTAAACAATTCAGTATTTTCTTTACAGCCCTGACCTAGCAGTGCAGCAGAGTTTAGTTTGATCGCTGAAATATTCATAGATTTTTTTTAAATTAAAATATTGATTATGTTTTGATGAGCTTTTCCTATGTTATATTTCTTTGGTTGTCCTGTACTTTAAGATTCTGTCTTGTTGATATTGAACTCGATTAAAAAATAATCATAAATACACTTTGATTATTCTTTAGTCTAATAAAATTGTGCATTATTGATTGTTCTAAATTACTTATTACAAAGATAGCATACCGATGACCAGAGGTAACATGTTGAGTCTATTTGTATGTCAGAGTATATGAAAGTCTTCTCAAGAAATCTGTAATTTGTTGGCTTACAAGGTACCCTTAAAAAAATTAACTATAGGAGTGTATTAGGCAGTACATAATCCAACTAAGTCAATAGTTCAACACTGCCCTGCATAATATTTATTGGATTACTGCAGGTTTAGTGTAATGAAGAAAATCAATTCAGTGATAATTGATTAAATTTATATGTTTATTTATAGTAAGATTAAAAGTATTAAATTTAATGCAGGTTAAATGTACCAGCTAGAAGCTTGTGCTGGATTGGAAGATGAAAAGCAAAGCAGCACCTGGCAAGGTACTAGCACCTCTAAATTTAAGCAAAAACAGACCGAACTATGACAATCATAGTGGCAAACATTCATTGTAACAAATTGTTTTTATGTTTAGTTTTAAGTTTTTAAACTTAATATCAAGTAATGTAACAATTTGTAATTCTTTTTCTCAAATACAAAATGATGTACAAGCCTCCATTTAAGGCTATTCGTAAATTTTTCATATATTAGGTTATTTTCATGCAATTACTTTAATTTTGAACAGTTTAGATTGTTGTTATTAATAAAAAAATCAACATGTACACAAGTCTTAAAGTATTAAGTTTACACACAAAATTTTATTGTAGTTTAATTTTTTTGTTTTAACTAATTCAACAGATTGTAAATGTAATAATAGCATTACACTGACTCCAAAGTCGAGGGATGTAATTTCAGGTATAAAATTATCTAATGTCCAAGGTCATCATGTTCCAACCATGGGATTAATGGGCTAAATTGGGAAATTATATGGCACAACTTCAAATGGTAACTAATTTCGTTATCCAAGTCAAAAACATTTTTTTAAAAATGCAATAACTAGTTTCTTAGAGCCCTAATTGTAGCATGCCAGTATCCAGAACAAAATATTTTTTATGGCATAATACATTTCAGCGTTGTTAATTTAATATTTTAAAAAATAAGCCTGTGTTGTGTCTGGCATCATTTTATTTTGTAAGCTTTACATAACAAATGTAATATTAACTTGAATGTTGGTATGCTCAGGGCGTGGAGTTTGCTGGGAGAGCGAGCGGTTTGCGGGAGGGGGGGTTTTGCTGATTGCTGACAACTGCTGATTTGCTGTTGTTGCAGTGCATAAGTTATGAGTAAACTTTTATACTTATTGACAAACCGAGACACGCATTACGTCGGTACATTTGGCTGCCGCTAACTCATTATCACATCACCTTTACTGTCTAAATCGAACAGGCGTATTATTTTAGCATTTTTATAATTTTCAAATATTATTTATTTGCTAATACAAATTGTGAATAGTTCAGTAAAGTAGACTGGATGCAGCCAGTGGAGTGTTGGTCGGAGTTAGTAAGAACTAATGTGAGCATTTGTTTGGCAGGCCGGTGCTGCTCGCTGGCCTGTTTGCTGTGGCAGTCCTGTGCTGTGTAAGCTGTGTTTGCAGATGCGCGCGTCTAGGTTTATTGGCGACAGCAGAAATTCCCTCCTGCCCTGTTAGACCCACACCTTGACAACCTTTTAAGGATATATTTTTCTATGTGTTCCGAGTTTGCATCATTTTAGGTGTTTTAAGGAATAGGTTGTTGACGCAAATGACTAATTGAACCTAACCTCTTCCTTAAAATTTTTCAAGAATGAAGACACGTGGGGTAAGAGGTTAATCAGCAGAAATGAAGTATAATTTTGTCTTAAATAAATTTAGTTATAGAATAAATGTGATTTTAATTTAAAACCTTCATAAATTCCTAGAGTAATAGCATATTTTCTAGTTCCACTCAAAAGATGTGTTCATCATCATCTAAGACGCTACGCTACAGTCGCGGGTAGTCCGGGTTACAATGTTGCCAATATAAAATTAATAAATCTAAGTTTTCCTATCATGGACTAGTCGATTTTAAGTTTCACATGTGTAATCTCGCATCAGTGTGTACAACACGCATACCTAAACGGATTTCATTGCTTGAAAATTATAACTTTTGTTATATTCCGATTTAAACGCAATTTCTGATGATATATATGAGTTCGAATCGTCAACACCGCTAGCACCCTGAACTGTTGCCTCCAAAATGGCGAAAATTAAATAGACACTACATTTTACTACGGTTTATAGACGGTTGTATGAAGATCAGTGGCACAAAAGCATGCCTATGTTTTGAAACCATTTGACAGAATAGGTGTTGTCATATAAAAACAGCAGTAAATAAAAATAAGACTAAATTAAAATAATATTTTATTTAAAAACTTATTACTTAAACGTAAAATTAATTATTAATAATCCATTTTTAGCATTGTTCTGCTTGAACCATCTTCCAAACTTATGCTCTTGACCTACCGCAGCATACAATTGTGTCCCATCTTTAGTAAATTGCATACAGTTTATAAAACCATTTGCCTGTATACTAAACAACGGTATTATTTTTCTAAATGCATCATACACTTTCCATAATCTGATACTATTATCATAAGAACCTGAGGCGAACATGTCAGAATTTAAAAGTGTTGCTAAACTTGTTATCCATCTTGGGACATTATTTTCTGATCCATGAGCTTCAGGCACAGTACATAAAGGTTTCTTTTTCAAAACACTCCACACACAAAGAGATCCATTATCACTGCCTGATACAAAATGTTCTTCATCTAATAATTTAACTTCATCCAAACTCCCAACGGGTCCATTAAATATAAGTTGTGATTCTTCTACAATTTTCCATATTCTCACTGAGGTATCCCGACTTCCTGCTGTGATAGCTCGCTCTCTTGCTAAAGCATCAATGGAAGTTATAGGGGCTTGATGACCAAACAATGTTTCAACATAAGCCATTTCATCTAATGACCAGATTTTAATTGATCTATCCTTACTTGCCGAGTACAAATCATGTGTATTTCTTCTAAAAACAAGGCCTGTTACAATGTCTTTATGACCATTGAATGTACGTACATGTTTCATCGTATGTGGATCCCATATATTTATACTAGATGATTCATCTGAGGTAGCTAAGAATTTTGAGTCTGAAGAAATAGCAACGGATGTTATACTACCTTTGAAGAAATTAGAATGAGTTTTAAATGTTAAGCAGCCAAGTTTTCTTTTTTCTTTTATTCCCCATTTAATAAGACATCCAGACTTACAGCCAGTGAAAACATACTGTCCATCAAAACTGACACAGACACATGTGAGTGTGAGCCGGTGTTCCCTGGCACGGATTAACTTGCAATCATTGTCAGTTGGTGCAACATAACTATCCGCAACATTAACACGTAATTTGCCTTTCTGTTCCAAATAATCTTTTTGTAATCGTTTCTCTATGGCATCATCTAACTCTTTTGCCTCTGCTCTTTTTGCTTCCTCTTTTTCAATTTCTTCTAAATATTTTTTTGCCAGTCTTAGCTTCTTTTCTTCAGCAGTTTCATGATCACTTTCAGATTCTTCAGCGTCGGAAAACTTTTTAAGGTCTAATTCACTATCAGAAGATTCTTGACCGTTTTCTAGGTTAGGAGCGTTTTGTTTTTTTGACTTGGGTTTGTTTATTTTTTCACCTTTTCTTTTGAATACTTGCCTTGATTTACCTTTTTGAAAAAATGATGAAGACATTTTGATTTATATATCTATCTCACCAATAATTATTTCTCATAAACTTTAATAACTGCCAGCGCCAAGAAATTTTTAGCACGCTGGATTGGCATTTGACATTTGTATCTCTCCCGTCATTTTGACATTGACATTCGTTAATAACATTAAAGGTTCGTTCGGAAACATACCAATAAATGTCTTGGAAATTTTGCATAATACTTTAATGATATTATACTTATTTAACTGAAATCATAATGCCATAAATGGATGATCTTACAATAATTAACTTAATCTTAATTAAATTTTTTAAGTAACGTTACGTAGGCATATAAATATTTTTCACCATTCCAAAATCACATCTCGTTTGTTTATCACAACAAATCACACAATCTTTCATTCTTATTAACAGTCATATATTATTATCGCAAGATTAAATTTTGATGTAGAAAATTTTAATTACAACTGACAACTGTTCTTCCCACCTAAAATAAAAGCAATAGGATATTTTACATAAGCATTAATGAGACATATTTCATAGATAGATTAAAAAAATATGATGGACCCAGAAATACAACAAATTGCATTAAATTTTTTTTATTTATAAACTATTATCTTCTTGCAAAACGGAGAACTACTTTTTGAAGAAAAGTTCACTCAATGATAGTCATAATATCTTTCTTTATCCAACAATTGTATTCGCTCCTCTTAATTGCAAATAACCTGCAGTAATGTCCATTGGCAAACTTCTTATGGTTGCAAACTCATCTACATTACAGTAGAACAATTTCGAATGTCGGTCCACATAGGGTGCTGGTAACCCAGATATATCTGAATATTTTTTTGTGGGTTTAAATGTTGGTGGTGCATTAATAGAGTAATCTGAAAA